CCAACGCGTTTACACTATCCCGCACAGCATTCCCATGATTTTCCATCAAAGTAGAATCAACTTCAGTAGTAACAAACTGGAATTAAACCATCAACTATTTGGTGTATTCAGCAAAATAGTGTTTACCTTGACACATTCATCTGGTTTTAAACTTTTGCTGGCTTCAGCTAAAACCTTTTTAAGCTCTTTATTCTTCTCAGTCTCTTCCTTCTTTCTCTGCCTTTCTTGTAACTTTTCCAATTGTGCTTGTGCCTTTGCATTCTTCTGTTTCACCTTACTTGGCCTTACAATATCCACTTCATCTTCTACAATAACACAAATGTATTGAGTTGCAATTATATTTCTCAAACAAACCAACCACTATCACTTATCCTTTCAGTATTAATCTTATATTTTGCTGTCAACTGTTGCAAAATGTCCTGAATATCATTTGACTTATTTGTAGCTGAAAGAGTAAATATTAAAATTGTTGTTGGAGAAGATATCTATAATGTTACCTTCTGGTTGTTTACTGGAAGGATCAATCACCATAACCTCATCCTCGTCTTCTGTTAAATCGAACACCATATCATTATCCTCGTGCGCTTTGAACTTGTCCATGAATGATTGCGCATCGTAATCTTGTATAATCGTTGCGTCGAAATCTTCGGACATTGCTCAAAATTAAAATGTATTTAAAACACTGTTCAAATGTAAACAAAACTCTTTAAAATCATCCCGGTACATGCGATGCATGCGATGAACATTAACAGTAGTTCAAAGTAAACGTCAAAATTCAAACAGAAGTCATATGGCCGTAGGTCTAATGCTACAATATTAATATTGAAAACACAATGCAAGCTATATATTATTATTTCATTAATAATAGCTATGATTAATCCAGAATTCGAAATGTTCGTTGTCGCCGCTTCTTGAATATTAATTATTGAAATGCTGAGGTCATTTTCGTACGCTTAATATTTCATTTTGTTTTGCCCGATTCAGATTTGAAAATCTAAATGCTTAATGTTAAACATTATAAAAGTTATGATGTAAATCTGATGAAATTCCTCCGTTTCTTATTGTTATTTCAAGTAGATTGAGATTTCAAGGAAATTAACAGAATTGTTCAAATATTTCTTAGAAATTTGCAAAAGTTTCATCACATATTTTTAAACATTGAACGAGACTTACACAATTATTTTGAGAATAAGATGAAAAGTCAAGGGTTAAACTGTTGGATTTACACATTGATAATAATCTTTAAATTCTTTTCAGCGGAGATCACTGCTTCAATTGCGTTCGTCTCTTGGTGAGCAGACTACGATGATGTCGAAAGTTCTTATTTTGGTAAGTTACTTTGATTTATATTTAATGGTAGTACTAGTAGTTCTTCTATAAGTTTTTAAGTAATTAGACTATTTTTTTTTGTATTACAGCAGCTCTTCATCTTTGCGCTCATCTCCCTTCAAGGAGAGGCGGCTCCTTCACCTCAACCGCAATTGGTTGTCGAAAGCTTTACTCAAGCTCCTCGACTATTTGTTATTTGGCCAATAATTCCAAATCGCTTTACATACATGTGCGATTACAACTACTATAACGACGGTTGCAATAATAATGGCATAATCAACTATTAACCGTAGCTATTTCGTCTTTAGTTTCTAAAATTAGTTTGACGCTGTATTATTGATATTGTTTTGACTGTTTGCTATTGGTAAATCGTTGTTTTGTCAATAGCAAACAAAATATACGAGATTAACAGAATTAAGAAATATTTGATTTCCCCATAAAAATAATTATGATGATGATATCCAAATTATTCCAGAAATCACTGTGAAGGTTATTAGTGTGTATTGAAAGAAAACATACTTTTTTTTTAAATTTAGTTAGTAAAATATGTAAAATGCTTATTATAAGTTTATATGCTTGAATATGTAATTATTTTGAAATCCGGGTAGCGTAGATGTACAAGTATTGTTTGTTGGAATGTTCTTGTAATTGGTAGTCTAAAAAAATTCAAGTGCAAAATATTCCATATGCATCTGTTTTCTTCGGACGTGCTCAGCATATTCATCTGTACCGTGACAATATTGAGATCACACACATCAGCTACCAACTCTCAATTTAAGCTCTTTGAGGAGTTCTTCTGTTTTCCTTTCAACAAATTCCAACATAATTGAAATATTTATATTTGCAGATGGTGTTTTTTGAGGTGTGCGGACGTGCCGAAACTCATGTAATCTTTGTCGGTTGATGGATACAGACAGCCCTGATCCCATTCAACAAAGCCGGATATATGGTAATAACAATTGATAATGAATGGAAGCAAAATGTGGGGATTATGAATATTAAAAGAACGTTTTTTCCAGCGGCCGACTGTGTGTTATTTATAAACGCGCGCTATTAAAGAGGAGTGCGTGTGCATAAGTTATGCGAAGGAAGAAATCCGACTACATACTAATGGGAATCGTATGTGTGGAAAAGGCAGTCTCAAGGATGATGCGATACCGGCTCAATGTCAAGAATTCTTCTTCCTTCGTCAACGTCGATCGAAGCGTTATGCGTTTTCAATAATAATGGGGCTTTAAATCGATTTGGTTCCATAGATACTCATAGGATGGGTGTGTCGTTATGGTAGGAAGGAGAACCGCCATTGAGTGTGGGGATGGTGTCTACTTAAACTTGAAACCGAGATCGAAAAAGGATAGTTTGCGAAAAGAAGACCCAGTCGAGGTTCCCAGCAAATACGCACACGATACGAATCATGAACAAAGCTGTCGCCCTGGTGAGTGTTCAAATTTTAAACTTTTGCTGTAGTTTGAAGCAACTGTGCGCTTCCTTTAATCTGATGTTACTTATTTGCTCTTGAAAATGCATAAATTTTAAATTGTAGCTCTTCTTCATCTTGGCCCTCGTCTTCGGCGGAGGTGCGGCGCCGGCGCCTAAACCGCAATTTCTCGCCTATCCCTACAGCTATGGTTACGCCGCGACGCCCTACTACTCCAGCTATTATTCGACGCCTTACTACGCCGCAGCGCCCTACGCACCAAGCTATGGTAATCTCTAGACCCTTTACACGAATCTTATGTTTTACATGACGATAGTATCTGAAGAGACAAAATATTTGATAATATAGTATTCAAGATCAATTTAGATATCTATCGTCGTGTAAATCCGTATACGATCGGTTATTAATTGACTCCGCCTCTGTCCGCAGGTTACGCCTACGCCTCACCGTACTACCTCTATTAGCGTTCTTCGAAATTAGCGAAAAAATACTATGGTTACCTCAATGTTTAAATCATTTTTAAACCGCTGTAACCACGGTAATTACATAAACGAAAGCTTTAATACACCAGGAGCGGTAAATCGCAACCCGTTCGCTCTTAACGATTAGTAGTGTACCTTTGTCTTTAATCAATCAGGTTATTTGTACTGTATCGAATCAGTGTTATTTTGTAGATTAGGTGTGTAAAAGATTATTGCCAATAAATGAATAATATACGATGTGACTAAAACTACGGTTGTGTTTATGATTATACTAAAATGATGCATCACCAATTAATTATCCTCGTACAAAAAGAAACGCAGATTATGCATGGAAATAAATCGGCAATTGCGCAATTATTTGTTAATAACAATTAAAAATAAATGATTTCGGTTGCCAAGGAGGAGGTAACAGGAATTGGGAAGAAACGAAATAAATTCAAACATCAATTTTCAAAACAAACGATTTTATTTGTTTATTACTAAGTAATAAGTTTACTTATATAAAAATGACTAAACGCTTCCTTTTTTGTTTTTCTTATTCGTCAATATTTTCTTTCTCTTTCTTTTTTTTTTATTAAATAAACCTCTCCTTCTCTCTCTCACTCACTCACTCTCAAAATATTCATCATCATAATTAATAATTACATAATAACCAAAACAAGTAATAAAGATGCGATCGTCATTTGAATCACTTTAATCAATTTTCGTTTTCGTTTTAAACTTTGACCTAAAATGATGGTAAAATATAGTAGTAAAGTCGATGAGAAGAAGAAAGGAAGGCAAAGTGCTTTTTCACATCATAATTTTCATGCTAAACCTAAATATTCTGTATATAAAAATTCCGAGAGAAAACAAAACGAAAACAATAATAATGGTCGCCGCAATTTTAAAATTAAAAAAAAACAAAACAAAACAAGGAAAGAAAAACAATTGCTAAACGGAAACAAAATAATAATAATATATATATCTAGTATGTCTTTGTGTCTAATATATAAAATATAACATTTTCTCTCACAACATCGGTCGATCATTCTTCCTCCTTCATCTCATGCGAAATCAAATCAAAAACAAAATCAGAAAAATCAATAGGCATAATATTAATTAGAATAAAACAAAAGACGTAATAAGATTACGCGAACGCACGCACACTTTTCGTTTCTTTGTACATCATCAACAATATTTATTTTTTTATCCCTCTTATTATTTCGTACGAGGTTCGAATTTTTATAAATATTTTTTTTCTTTTTAGAAATCATAACAGTAAATAATAATGACAAACGAATAATAATTATAATAATAATATATTATATACAATATACATATGGTGCCATGTCCAATTTAATGTAAATCAGAACGCGAAGAAAACCAAAATCGTTCGGGAGATTTCGATTCTCCAGAGTATACATACATATACATATATATGTATAAAGAAGATAAGCAAGTCTGCTTTTGTTTCATTATAGATAGATTTCTATAGCAAGACATTTGAGATCCAAAAATAATTGAATGGAAGTGAAGTGAACACAAAATTATTAAATTAAATGAATCACATATTAGTAGTAGTATTATCGAGGCCGATACGATACGAAAAATTAAATAAATATATATATGTTTGTGTGTGTCTATGTGAGTGTATATAAATATTAAGAGATACGAAACGAGTAGAAGCTATATACAACATTTTACATATCACCGAACGCGCGTTTCGTCTCATCATTTTTCATTTTTTAATTAATTAAATTTTGTTTGTTCATAATAGTTACGATATGGAAAACATCTTTTTTTTTTCATTATAATTATAAATATATATATTTATTAATTTATATAACACTGTTCCTTCATTATTTACTCTATCATTACTGTTATTGTTATTATTATTATGTTCTTTTTGATTTTTGTTTATTTATCAATGTTTTACGTTAGTTACTTTCCCGTTTTCTTGAGTGTTTCATCAATACGAATTGGCGAAAAACAAACAGGGCACCATAAATAATATATCTATCTCATCATTTCTTTGTCTGAACGTGTTAGCTACACGTCCCAGGATATATCGAATTGAAGAATTAACCGATCTCGATCGCATAAAATATTGCTTCTCGTTTCTGATATTATTATTATTATTGTAATTATAAAAATATCAGTTTATCATAAATATTACATATAACGTCCATTCGCTTTCATTTATTTATTTATTTATAGAATATGTGCATTTTGCATTTGCTTGCTTATATTGCAGAACGAAGAGATAATTGTGAGGCACTAATATTGGGGGGGAGGGGGGCACTATATTCATCCTCCGTCTCTGTTCGCTCGCTTCACCTTCGCCCGAGTATTGCACGACGATAACAATTGGTTGTACACGAGATTATATATATTTACAAATTAATTAATGTTTAAATAATATTTATGTTGGGGGGCGTTGTTAAGGTTCTTCACTCGCGCAGGGCGGTTGGATTGCATGGCACACTATCATTGTTTAACAGCTCGCTCGTTCGTTCGGGACCAATGAGAAAAGAAGTAAACGGAATGGGCGGAGACAATGTAGCTGACACGCGCGTGTTTATGTGGATTAGCTTGTTGCTATGGGAGGGGCGTGGCGCGGCGTTGGTGCTACGGAACGAGACGCGCCCGCGGACACACGTACTTTATAAATAATAGTAATAATAATATTAATAACAGGATCGCGATATTAGATATTAATACAACTATATATATATAGAGACACGCATTGGATCTTACGAAGAGGAGGATAACGAGAAGAACTCTTGGAGTCGTCGCACCGTGGATCGCTCCAGCAGGCACAGATCAAAGTCGAAAGTGCGCGCCGAAACTTCGTACCTGCCAGTCTCGGCGATCAGCTGCACGACCCTCTGTAGCTCCGCGTTGTCCTGCAGCGTCATTATCTTGTGCTGCAACTCGCGCAGTATTCTCATGTAATCCTCAGGGTTCTCCTGGTTCTCTTTATCCAAATCTGTGGAAGCGTGCGCCTCGGCCATCACCTGGTCGCCATCCGAATCGACGTTACCGACTACAGCGGAAATGGAGTTCACAACAGTTGCGGACGGCTTGAAATGCTTCGCATCCGGCTCGTCGTCGTCCTCGATCTGCAGCTTTCGCTTTCGCTTCTTATCCTCCTTATCGCTCTTTTTGTCCTTCTTGCGGGACTTGTCCTTTTTCGGCTTACTCTTATCAGACATCAGCTGATCCTTTGGAAGACTGTCGAACAGTGATTCGGTCTTGGGCGGCGCTGGGACGGCGGGGCTGCTGCCGTACGCGGCTGCCGTCTCCTCCTTCGAACTCAACGAGCTGTTCGAATTCTCGTTCTCGGAGAACAACGGTTGCTTGAGCGATTTGCTCGTCGCCGATGCGATGATTGGTGCAGGTGCTGGAGGCGAAACCAGAAGCGGCGGTAGCTGCGCTTCGGGCATCGGACTCACCATCGTCTTCGTCTCTGTTTCCTTCGTCGCATCGTATTTATTGTTGTGCACGTTGTTCAGGCTATTGTTCCCCTTGCTCTTCTCCGACTTGTGCCTATCCTCTTTGCTCTTCTCACGCTTATCCTTATCCTTGTCCTTATCCTTCTTCTTATGCTTATGTTTTTCCTTTTTTTCGTCCGCCTTGTCTTTCGACTTCATCGAATCCGTCTCCTTGGAGACAATATCCTTCACCAGTTCTTTGGGCTTCTCTTTCATCTTCAACGGCATCGGGCTGAGCTCCTTCTGGATGGAGGTCAACATCGTCGCGCCCTCCTTCACGTCGCCGCTCATCACCTTCGACGACTCCTTCTTGTGCTCCTTGCCGGAGTCTTTGTACTTATCGGAGTATTTATCCTTTTTGTACTTTTTCTCAGTCTTTATGTCATCTTTTGGTTTTCCGATTGATTCGCTGCTGCGTTGCTTGTCCTCGTGCTTTGGTAAAGAAGGGCTCTGTACTTTTGGACTGGCCGGCCTCTTCGGACTTGGCAACCTCTTCGGCGAAGAGGACCTCGGCCTCTTCGACGAGCTCTTCTCCTTGCTCCTATCCCTTTCCTTGTTTCTATCTTTCGATTTATCCTTATTCTTCCTCTCCGACGACGATTCCTTATCTTTCGCTCGGTCCCTATCTCTCTCCTTATCTTTATCTTTGATTGGGCTTTTATTCTTCATTTTATCTTTATCTACAAAAACAACAAAAAAAAAACAATTAGACTAACTAATCAAAATATTTAAAAATGACGAGATTATTCATCGTCGTGAATAATTCGATAATTATTGATAACTAATTCGATAATGGAACGTACCTCCTGATCCTCTATCTTTACTACTGCTGCTGCTCAATTTAGAGCTATCTTTGGTGGGAACCTTTGCAGGATCTGGCGAAATCTTGGACGACTTCTTGATTGGCGTGCCGAAGAGACTGTGGAAGTTTGTCTTCTCCTCGTCGCTCTTCGTCTTATATTTTTTTTGCATATCTGAGCCTCCTAGCTTGGGTTTGTTCACTAGCTGATTCTTGTCGTCCGAATTCATTTTCACGTCATTCATGTCCATTGAATTGTTCGAATTAACAATCTGCAAAAAGAGGATGATCAATTAAACATTATGTTTGTTATTAACAATATTAAGATACTCACTGTTCCACCGCCTTTGAGGAGTTTGTGCTTGAAATCATCAGTGGGATTCGTGAACACATGTTTTTCCATCTGCACTTTGTAAATGGCAGGGCCGGAGGGTTGCAGTGTGAGGTCATAACTGTATTTTATCTTCTTGGGTTCCTCCTTATTTTTCAAATAGATTTCGATTGGCAGCAAGAAACCAGCATAACCAGATTCCTTTATAGAGTATGGTGGTTCTTTGAAAACTGAAAAAGGGGGAAAATTAATAGTGTTAAAAATAGAAGCACAAGGCCTCCCAAGTGTGGTGATTTTGTCATATGATCAAGACTGTTGTTTTGTTTTCAATTAGAGATGATGGTCTTACCCCGTTTTGGTTTGTTGAATGTTTCATGCAAGTAGAACACCACCTTCTCTACGTAGCATTGGATGTCTGCCCCATCGAAGCCCCTGACAAACACCTCCCAATCGTGTGTGAAGCCCTCCTGGGTCCTCTTGTTGCGAATCGAAGCCTCATGGCCTAGTTCAAGGTTAATCCTCACAGCCATATCTGGCCTTAGCTAAAGGGCAGCCCACGACACCGTCAAGTTCCAACGCGAAGCACCTCTGATTCCTTGATTTTTTTTGGTGGGACACTGGGTTTTATTTATTTTAACCTAATTTTCGCTCACTGCACTCTCAACGCACTCAGAATCACCGTCGTCGTCCTTTTCCTGCAGACACACGCACAGTTTTCGTTACATTTTCATAATGCACAAGGAATACAATTCACGCACGTAACTCAAGTTCGTCTTCGTACCCCGCGAAACACTTTTTTCTATTTATTTACGATAATTACCATTCAAATAGCAATGGCCTTAAAATTTATAAACAAACTGCACTTATCAGTCAGTATTGACAGGATCTGAAGCGATGTTGCCTGTTGCCGTATCGAGAACGTACTGAGACACTGAGACTGAGGACTGATACTTATACTGAGTTATTCTCCCTTCTTCGCCCCCTTCCCTTATACTCGCAAATTCAATACAGCTGAGTCTTTAAAAACCTATTAATCCCTTATTTTGAAAAGATCATAAATGAAATCATAAATTTCGTCGTTTATGACCTACCGCGTTTGCGACTACGGGGATTTTATGGCGCGCAATTAAATGGCAACCCGGCCGATACTTGTGACATTTACCAGTTTGACAGTAATACTTTTCAATACTTCAATCACAGGGATTCAAGAAGCGCTGATTAGAGGAAAAACGTAGAATTTCGTTGATTATAGTAGGAAAAAACGAACTCGAGGTGAGTTTAATACTATTATGTAAAATATATCTTTTGTTTAAAAAAAACAGTCGGTGATTAAAAGGCACTTAAATCGCTCTACCTGCCATACAATTACCAGGTACTCTTTGATATTATTACAAATATTTTCATATTGATCTCGTATAATGAAATTACAGTTTATTGCATAAATTTCCACTGAAATCTACCTGCTTCAACAAAAGATTTCCAAAAATATTTTTTTTTAGTAAAAAATTTGTTGATTTCTGTATGAACAAATTTTATTTGCTTATATTGAAGGGTAAATTTCCATGGAAATTTAGAATCAAATCAATTCTTGGAACTACACTTTCTAAGAAAATTTCTGGTTCAGATTACAAATGCTATTAAAATTAGTCGTATAAGCTTATAACAATGATATCAATGATAACTAATCAATATTTTGTTAAAGAGTAGTGCAAATGCCTTATCTACTTGGAAAATGATGCATCAAATTGAAACAAAAGATTAACATTATAACAAGCATAAGTCCATATCAACCTAATTTTAAGTTACATCTTTAATAACTTTAATTAACAGCTTGACGATGGCAAGATGGGTCATTAATTATAAACAATAGTTTTGTTGCTAAGTTACCACTGATTTTGATTGAGTCAATTATCTCAAATGTCTTAAGTCAATTACAAATTTCAAACGTTAATTCGAACCCTTTTGAGTATATTTATTGGACAAAACAAAAATAAAATAGGATCATTCAATAATAGAACTTGAAACAAAAGATTAATAACTTTAATTAACACCTTGACGACGGCAAGATGGGTCATTAATTATAAATAATAGTTTTGTTGCTAAGTCACCACTGATTTTGACTGAGTCAATTATCTCAAATATCTTAAGTCAATTACAAACATCAAACGTTAATTCGAACCCTGTTGAGTATATTTATTGGACAAAACAAAAATAAAATAGGATCATTCAATAATAGAAATTTAAACAAAAGATAAACATTATAACAGATAACAAGCATAAGTCCATATCAACCTAATCTTAAGTTGCATCTTTAATAACTTTAATTAACACCTTGACGATGGCAAGATGAGTCATTAATTATAAATAATAGTTTTGTTGCTAAGTTACCATTGATTTTGACTGAGTCAATTATCTCAAATATCTTAAGTCAATTACAAATTTCAAACGCAAATTCGAACCCTGTTGTGTATATTTATTGAACAAAACAAAAATAAAATAGGATCATTCAATAATAGAAATTGAAACACAAGATTAACATTATAACAGATAACAAGCTTAAGTCCATATCAACTTAATTTTAAGTTGCATCTTTAATAACTTTAATTAACACCTTGACGATGGCAAGATGGGTCATTAATTATAAACAAAAGTTTTGTTGCTAAGTTACCACTGATTTTGACTGAGTCAATTATCTCAAATATCTTAAGTCAATTACAAATTTCAAACGCAAATTCGAACTATGTTGAGTATATTTATTGAACAAAACAAAAATAAAATAGGATCATTCAATAATATAAATTGAAAGAAAAGATTAACATTATAAAAGATAACAAGCATAAGTTCATATCAACCTAATTTTAAGTTGCATCTTTAATACATTGACGACAGCATGACCCACTGATGGGTCATTAATTATAGTATAAATAATAGTGCTAAGTCACCACTGATTTTGACTGAGTCAATTATCTCAAATATGTTAAGTCAATTAAAAATTTCAAAAGCAAATTCGAACCCTGTTGAGTATATTTATTGAATAAAACAAAAATAAAATAGGATCATTCAATAATAGAAATTTAAACAAAAGATAAACATTATAACATATAACAAGTATAAGTCCATATCAACCTAATCTTAAGTTGCATGTTTAATAACTTTAATTAGCACCTTGACGACGGCATGACCGGTGGGTCATTAATTAGATAATAGTTTTGTTGCTAAGTGACCACTGATTTTGACTGAGTCAATTATCTCAAATATCTTAAGTCAATTACAAACTTCAAACGCAAATTCGAACCCTGTTGTGTATATTTATTGGACAAAACAAAAATAAAATAGGATCATTCAATAATAGAAATTGAAAGAAAAGATTAACATTATAAAAGATAACAAGCATAAGTCCATATCAACCTAATTTTAAGTTGCATCTTTAATAACTTTAATTAACACCTTGACGATGGCAAGATGGGTCATTAATTATAAACAATAGTTTTGTTGCTAAGTCACCACTGATTTTGACTGAGTCAATTATCTCAAATATCTTAAGTCAATTACAAACTTCAAACGCCAATATATATTTTCTTATACATATTTGAATAATTCTTGAAGCAATTTAGTATAACATGTGATATTGTGTCATAATTTAGGCATACTTTACAAATTAACTTGCAATATTTAACATATTAACATATTTGAAATTTTCATTCAATTCTGCTTGCCGCTTCTCAGCTCTTAAGTAATCGAAACGCAACAGCATTGAAAATACAATATGATTATCATAAGCAGATATATAAAACATTGCTAATTTATTCAAATACAATACAAGCGTAGAAGAATATGCTGGAATATGCACAAGATGATATTATATTCGACTTGAATAGAAATTGCAATCATCAATTATTATTATTGCTTATAGTACTTTTACCGCGTTTCAATAAAATTCGAACCCTGTTGAGTATTGAATAAAACGAAAATAAAATAGGATCATTCAATAATAGAAATGTTTATTTATTTTTATGAACAGCTTCAAAACATTTGATACACACTGTGCGCAATATGTAACAACTTTTTTTAGCGGAAGTTGCACTACCTTCCCCCGCAATATCTATTGTTTTATAACATTCTTTAGATCGCTTTCTTGCCTGTTTTGCTGCAGGAGAGTACGTTTCAATGAAATCGTCATCATTCATTAGTTTATCAATATTTTTTCTCGAAATTATTATGTATATACCAAGCATTTGCTAATTGACCACTTAACACTTCTTCGTAAACATTTATAATACGATGTTATCTGATCAGAAACATCAACTCCTCTTTTTAATTTATAGTAATCAAGGCTTAAGTTTTCCATTCTTGCCTTCAATTGTAACACACACATGTGTTTGTTCGATTCTTCCGAAGAACAATCATCATTTCCATTATAATTCATATTTATTATCAAATCAGATATTTTCTTCCAGCTGAAACAATAATTGCAAAACCGTAACGTGTTAATAACTTGAATTAAGGGAAATTTGTTTTATATAAAAAAAATAATGTTTTCTTTTTTATTTCAGATAAACTATAATAATGGCTGGGTGTGTTCCATGTTTCATCATTCCTCTGCTTCTGTTCATCTTTCACCGATACATCCAACCGATAATCCTGAAATTCTGGAATCCGTGGGAGACGAAGGTTGACGAGGAGGAGCTGAAGAAGCCGTTCAACTGCACCAGCTGCAAATACGATAAGAACGGTGCAAACAGCTGCAAACCGGATATCACCGAATCTGAGACGACGACGACAGCAAATTCTGCGAAGCTCAAGTGCAACTAATTTTTGTGCAATTAAGAGAGAAAGACGAGGTTTTTTTTTATTGAAAAATAGTAGGTTTTAATGATTCCAAATATTCACAAATATAGCACAGAACAATAGAAATAATTAAAACGTTTAACATTCATGCATTGTCCTATCGAATACAAAACTTAAAAGGTACACGAACCTCCAAATTAAACGAGGCAAACATAAAAAAAAATATAATAATAATATAATACACATTCATCCAAGAGATATATGCGAAAAAGGAGGAATTGTGGTGGATATCATATCGATGATTATTAATAAGTATTAAAAGAAAAAAAAAGACACGACTCGACGACGCATTCGAATTAAAAGTAAATGATGTCAGTTCATGTGAATTATCCACAGCGAATAATTGCTGCTGATGCAGTTGCTGTTTAGTGGACGTTCTTCAGTTCCACTTCGAAGACGAGCGTCGAGTTCGGTGGGATTACAGGTGGAGATCCTTTCGGGCCGTAAGCCATATGTGGTGGACAGACGATGCGACGTTTACCGCCGACCTTCATGCCAGCGACACCAGCATCCCATCCCTTGATGACCTCCTGCTTGCCCAAACGGAACTTGAAACCGGCTCCCTTGGTCGTCGAATCGAACACTTTGTTGTTGGTCTTGAAGCGACCTTCGTAGTACACCTGAACGGTCTTGCCCTTCTGCGCGACTTTACCGTTGCCCACTTTCATATCCTCGATTAACACTCCGCCCTCGATTTTCTTCTTCTGAGCAACTTCCTTCTTCTCCTGCTGCTGCTGCTGCTTCTTATCGCCCTTCTTCTCCTGCTGCTGTTGTTGGTTCTTCTCCTGCTTAACTTGTTGCTCCTTCTGCTTCTTGCCAGTCACCTCAGCGACCTTGTTCTTCTTGGCATCCTTAGCAGTTCCGTTCATCTTCGGCTTCACGTCCTCTTCTTCATCGTCGTCGTCGTCGTCATCATCTTCCTCCTCCTCTTCTTCATCATCATCATCATCCTCTTCAGCGCCATCCTCATCATCATCTTCCTCTTCGGCGCCATCTTCATCATCGTCGTCGTCTTCCTCGCCTTCTTCCTGAACGTTGCTCTCGTCTTCATCCTCATCATCATCTTCATTTAAAATATCCGACAAGTTGACATCAGAATCATCTGAGTCATCATCATCTTGGCTGTTCACGCTGTCCAGCAGTTGCATTGTTTTGCTCTTCTTAGCAGGCGCTGGAAAACAAAACACACTAATTGATACAAATCCGACCAAAGCAACAAACAATTATCGGTGTTTTTTCTAAACATTGACGATATATCATTATTATTTACGAAACTGAATCATACAATGTTCAAAAAATATCAGCGATACAAACGGAGACTAAATAATGAGTGCAAACAAATAATAATAATAGAAATAATCCAATGCGGTAAATAATAACAATTGACAAAACGGCTAAGCTACAGTCTACGATTACGGAAATAGAAGAGAAATACAAACGGGCGTCTTTTTGTGCCAAAGCGTTGAGTTTAACGTTAATTTTTTGCGCTAAACTATTTGATGAAACTAGAACAAAACATATTCGTGTATGTAGATGACGAAAGTACTTGTTTCTATTTTATTATGTTAGGTTTTTTTTTTTATATATATAATCACAGCATTGGATCATTGGGTCGCACTGCTCTTCGCACCACCAACATAAAATTATATTACTTACGTTGCAACGAGTTGCTGCACATCTTTTTCGCCCGTTTTCCGCTGACGATATTGCTCTGGCTCACATCCAACTCCTGTTCATCATCATCTTCCTCCTCCTCGATATCCTCTTCATCCAAGTTGAAATCCTCATTCAAGTAACCCGTGAGGTGCACATGCGATTCTCCATTTGTGATGAAGGAAATTTGATCTCCAACCTGTCCCGCAATGCAACGCAGATTATAAACACAATTGTTGACAGCGATAATAAGATGCTAAGAAGGCTCACCTCAAAGTTGACATCGAGTGGGACCTGGAGGATCTTGTCCTTTTGCAATGTGCAGAGCAGATACTTTCTGTTCTCGAAGCCGCACATCACCTGGACCGGTTCGTCAGTGCATGAGCACAGGTCCAAGGCAGCCATCGAGATGTGGAACGACCTGTGGACGGTTTGCGAGTAACGCTTCTGCGGTTCCATAATGAGTCCTGGCCAAAAACAAAAAACATGCAATCAGAACAATTGATAAACGTGTGGGAAAAACGAGGGGTGTCATGACTACGAACACACATGGTCGTGGCAACGAAAACCAATTGTTGTTTAGTAAAGACAAATGAACCACGTGAACGAGGCGACCTGGAAACGAACGTTTCCTGTCCGATTTTGCGGTTATTTCGTTTCGTTCGATGGTAAATAGCGAAAACACGTGGTCCACGATGCCGGCATTTTCGATGTACGGAAAGAAAATCTCTGTTTCACTTACCCCAGAACATGTTGGAAGCTGTGCGTTTCGTCGTCTGTTAAAATGAGAAGAATAAACAGCAGAAGCGAGTGTTTTCTTGTGGCGGAGAGCTGACTTTTTCTTCGCTGTTCAGAGCCCTGGATGCGAGCTGAATCGAATGACCGTTGATGATTTGCTTTGCCAGAGACGAGGTGGGCGCAAAAAATTTATGAAAATGTGCCCGCTGGCGCACTCTGTCCAACATGGAAAGCCTTAATTTCCCCAAGAAATGTTGCCGCCAAAACGTAACGGTCTGCCAGTTTGAATATTCAAAATCCCTAGCGAAGAGCCATCGCGTGTGATCGCTTTTCCCATCCACCGTTCATCTTTTGTTTCTCTTAATCTGACCAATAGGAAAAGGCTGGCAGCTGTTAAAGTTGCATACCTCACGAAAAGCAAGTAAGTTATTAACAATGAAACTCGTTTATTTCCAATGACTTGTATTTACATAGTTGCCTCGACTAGACGAGCTCAGGTAGTTGAAAATCAGTTCTCACAAAATACATTATTATCAATTACAAATGTAAAAAAAAACAACAACTTCAAATTGATCATGGAGGAGAAGATATCATTCCATGAGGTGTTACGGGTTATTGCTTTGGTTTTGTCACCAGTCCAGCCAAGGGGGCTGGTTTACCTTGTGCACAGGGATGAAAGTCAAATTCACGGGCATATTTATAAGGGCATGGGTCAGCTTCAGCTTCCTCAGCGTCTCGACGATCATCACGCCGTTTTTGCCCATCAGAAAAGCTGCAGGTATATTCACGTCCTCGTCCGGATCATCGTCGATCATTTCGATGAAGTAATCCTCATTCGCCACGGTCGTGTCTGTTATGATAACGGCCCTGGCTCCGGCCCTCGCAGCCACCACTGTCTTCACCTTAAAGGAACATTCCCTATCAACAATAAACGCATACAATTAGGTAACAACAAAGTTTAAATGAAGATTTACCCTCGTTCAATGAAGGCCACATTGCCATCAATTTGGTGTGCATTCCTTAATGCGGAGCAACCGAATTTCGGTTTCACAGGCACAAGTGGTACATTCTTCATGTGAAATGTAGAATCCTGCAGGATGAAATTTACGATTAACGCTGATACGTTGTAAACATTGAACCTTACAAAAGGTGCTCCAAAGTCTTTGGCTGGCCGCAATCTGTATGTGTACTCCAGCTCCATTGGGTCGATGATCTCGAAAAAGACATCACCGGAAATCATCTGCGCTGTGCTCGAAGTCTCCTGCTGCTGCAGCAGTAAATTGTTTGCGTCTGTGGGTGGCGGAGGAGGATGTTTGCATTTGATTACAACCAATTTAATCACGATCCAATTAATTACTTACCGCCGATCAACACACAGAGTACTAGAAGCACCGTTTCCCACTCGTTCCGCATAATAATAATAAAGGGGAAATCAAAAAGGAAAATTTGTTGGTTAAATACATGTCACATCACAACATTGATTGTGTATATCGCTGATTGACGTTTCCGATTAGATTTCATTTGTTCCCAAAAGTTGAATTAAAATTAATTCACTGAAACACTTAGCTTATTATACTAAATTACATGCTCAATTTACTATTATAAGTAAATAACTAATAAGCGATGTATTTGTTATTTCGAGCGAATTTAAAACTTAATGGAAATTGTTTGGTAATCGCTGATTACCGCGAATTCAGTCGCATTCAGATATGGAGTGAAGTTGATCACGAGGAAACGTCAATTCCGATTTGAATTACGAAAACAATTGAAATTGTTCAATATGACTCTGATGAATAGGCGATCGTTCAAATACGGAATTCCGTTCCTGCTTGCGATTGTCGGCGGTTCCTTCGGCCTCAAGGAGTTCGCTCAGCTCAGGTGAGTGCGTCTCGCGACGAAACGTTTTCCAATTGGATTTTTAAGGTTATGTGATTGTTCTATAGGTACACATTCTCGAAGAAGTCGACGGTGAAGGAGGACATCAAGAGGAGCGGTATGGAGGTGAAGGATCAGAAGGAGAGTTCCATAGAGAAGCAGTACGAGAAGCTGAAGGATATGGATTTGGATAATTGGGAGCAGGTGCGGGGTCCGCGACCCTGGGAGGAAAAAGCGTCTGCATAGATATTGCCAGACGCAGGCATTGCTTGCTCACTCACTAGTCTAGTATGTATAATAATATATTTAAAAAAAATATAATAATAAATGATACACGGTGAGAGGACTGCAACAAAAAAAAACAACAACAAACAAAACCCCAATTTTAGATATTACAAATGTTTCTCTCTACAGTCCACGTTCATCCATAGCAAACATTTGATATTTTTTATTTATTGTTTTCTTTATTCCAAATCATTTTGAAACTACAGATATATTTGATAAAATTCAAAAATTAATAATTCCTTGTAGTAATTGGCCATGAATTTCCTTTTTTTTGTGTGTGTGTATGTATATAAGAAGGTATGGTTAATTAATATATAGAATCTGGCCAATTATTTCTTTCATCATAGCTAAATAAATATTTACATTCAGATAAATATGTATACATAGATATATGTATAGCTCAATATATATGTATGTATGTATGCACATTGAGAAATAATAATGATAATAAAAAAAAAAGAAAGAAAAGAAAAGAAAAAGTAGAAAGATAAAAACAATTAAAAAAGATAATTGTAAAATGTAAGATAGAACTTAATTAGTCATCCCAATCGTTAATCAATTTGTTAACTGTGCTTTGTGATTTACCATGCTCGGACTGCTGAGAATCGGTGTCCTCCCAGTCGTCCAGTATGGACATCTTCGCGGCCTGACTCTGGTTCTCCTGCAGCTTCGTCTCGTCCTCATCGACCGCCTTCTGCGAATCCTCGTCCTGCGATAGAGCGTCCGCCTCCTCGTTGGAGACTTCCGTCGCAGTCGAAACCTCCGTCGTCGAATTACTCTCCTCCACCAGAACCGAACTTTCTTCCTCGTCCTTTAATTCAGAATCATTTTTAACATCGTCATCTTCGACTTTCGTGTCCGTCGTTTCTGGCGTCGACGGTTCGTTGATCGATTCGACGGGTTCCTCCTTCACTGCATTCCCCTCATTTCCATCCACCTCCATCGCCTCGATTTCATCAGTCAGAGGCTGGTCCTCCTCCGCCTTGTTCTCCTCTACTTCCATCTCCTCCAATTGCTTAATCTTACCCACATCCTCTTCTTCTACGATTTCCTCGACGAGCTCAACAATCTGCTTGGGCTTATCGTCCTCTTCATTGTCTTGCGACTGATTTTCTACTGATTTCTCGCTACTTTCGGGATTCTCGCTTTCCGCGATGATCTCGTCCACCTGTGACACTATTTCCTCCTGTAATTTACTTTCTGGTTCTTTTGCAACGAGTACTTCGGCTACCTGCTCCGTAGTAATTTGCTCCTGCTGTTCCTGCTGCTGCTGCTGTTGTTCTTCCAGCTGTGACTCCTCGATCTAAAACACGCACAGTTGTTGTTGTTATTATTATTACTATTCTACATATTACAACTTACATTTTTAATCAATTCTTGCGTGGGCGTTTCTTCGACCACCTCCATCGCCGTCGCTGTCTCTACGATCTGCTGCTGCACAGCTGCCTGCTTGCTGTTCTCGATCGCCTTTAGCTGCTGCTCCTGATTGTTGTGACTCTCGATTTCCCTCTGGATCATCTCTATCGACTCCACCGTGTTCTGGTTATCCAACGATTCGGCTGTGGCGTTCGTAGGCAAATTGCTGATCTCCAACATGCCCGTCTCCGAGTTCAGCATGATGTTGCTCTGCGATGTGATGAACTGGTTGTTCTGTCCCTCCACCGGATGACTGTACAGGACAACGATGTTCGAATTGTCGTTCGACAGGATCTCGTTGTTGCCGTCGTTGTAGTCGTGATCGGTGAGGACCATCACGAGTTCATCGGTGGAGGCGATGTCGGTGTTGTTCAGCATCGACTGTGTAATCACGTTATGCTGCGATGTGGTTATCACCTGGTGGTTGAGGCTCGGGTTCTGGACGTAAGTGTCTTGCAGATCGGGCAGCATGAATTCCTGGTTGTTGCCGAGCGACTGCTGCGTGACTATCTGCTGGCTGTTCGGATGCAATATGTACTGCTGGTTATCATCCAAGACCACGATGTCCACCAAACCCAAGTTGGTCGCGATGCCGGTGTTCTTCAGGAAATTCTGATCGTCCGCCGGAGCGTTGTTACCCTTCAGTTTGATGTTATCTAATACTTTCACTGTTTTATTATTGGACGGCACTTCTTCCGTAAAGTCCTCGTCGTCGTCCAGACTGACGATGCCGTCTCGTTCTGCCTCTTCACGATGGGCCGACCTCAAGTGGATGAACAGATGTCCGGCCGTCTGGAAATTCTTCGTGCAGTACTGACAGTCGTAGTTCAGACGTCCAGCCATCGCCGAATGGCCGGTGATCTGCGTGTGCTGTTTGAGAGATGTGTCGCTGTTGAAGCAAACTTTGCACACCTTGCATTGAAACTCGTAATTCGTATGTATCAATTTATGCTTTTCCAGGTGAGCGTCGGACAGCGCGGTGTACGGACACTGCTGGCATTTGGGGAACTCGTATCCTGCAGGCGGTTTTACCGAGTGTTTCGTTAACTGATGATACATGAGTAGGTTCTGCTTGACGAATTGATGGCCGCAGTACTTGCACATTTTCGAGTCGAATTTCTCGTGGTGAACGTCGGTCATGTGCTTCCTGTACAGATAGTACAGCACGAACTCCACTTGCTCGGCTCCCTCCATCGAGCATTTAGTGCATATCCACGGGCCATCCTCCTTGTGCTCGGCATTCTGTTTGCTGATGCTGCTGCTGCTGCTACTACTGATGCTGCTTGTGGTCGGTACAGTCGTCGGCGGAGAGGAGATCGCCACTGTTACTTTCGGTGCTTTCATCTGCACTCTGAGCTTAGGTTGGGACGACTTCACCATAGTTTCGGACGATTTGCCTTGGGGCAGTATCTTCAGTCGTATGTTTTTATTTTTCTTCATCAGATGCGGATACTTCTTGAGGACCTCCGATATTATCTTAGAGTGATCCACGTCGCCCTTCCCTGTTGGCGTTATATTAATTTTCGTCTCTTTATTCTCTTTCTCGTTAACGTTAAATCTTACTTTCTTGACTGCCGGCTGTCCCGCCGCGTTTTCCTTCTTACGTTTCACCGGTACCTCGGGCACGTAATCCGGATCCAAATCGTTGTCCACGTATTCTTCGTACTCTATATCGTTTCTGATCTTTTGCTCCTTCACGTAATTCTTCAGCTCGTCCAGATTCACAGCGGAATACTCCTCCTTCGAGAAAGAAGTGCTCGCCTTCATCTCGTCCTCCTGCGTGAGCAACGGTTTGCTGTTGTACGAGATCGAATCGAAGGCCGTATCCAATAAGTTGAAATTCTGGAAATCCTCCTCGGGCCACTCGAATCTCGTCGGTTTAGGCGCATTATCGAAACTGTTTATTGGTTCTATTGTGGATATGCGTTTCGTTTCGCTCGGTATGAAACTCGACGTGGGTTTCGTGACCGTACTTTGGCTGGGTATGGTTTTCCTCTTCCACACCGGCAGTTTTCTGCCTGGCAGTGTTGGAGGTAAACTCTTCTCCTGCGTTTTCGGTGTGATTTTCTTACCTTGCAAATTATACACTGGGGGCACTTTTGATATCACTGCTTTGGATCCGGGCAGTGTAGGTTGCTTCTGGGCATCCAGCAGCTTGAGCAGCACTGTGATATTCATCAGTTCGGCAGTTTTGTACAGCTTTTCGTATAGGATAAGTTCATATTCTAGCATGCCGGTGTAGATGAAATTGACTATTGGCAGGATCACATCTGCCTGCAGGTCTGAGGGCATCAGCAGCACATCCTCGTTTACTTCACAGGTCTGTTCAAGCACTTGGAAATACTCAGTGCAGGCGTTCATCACTAATCGATGCACTTTAAGCTGCACATTACCCTCAAATTGGAGTGTCAGATCACAGTAGTCTGTTTTGTTGAAGAACACTTGCAGCCGGGACAGGAAGTATATGCCCCAGTTATCAACCCTCACTTGTTTACTAACCTCACCCATCTTGGACTAACCTAGAGGAGCCAGAAAGAAAGAAAAAGACGATCAGTTCAGGGGCTCCAATGACGATCAACTAACAGGCAGTTTTTAACAGGGATGTTTAAGGCAAGGGGGCTGTACCTCTTTTTCAATATTTGCTAAAAACTTGAATGCGAGAAAGAGAGAAACGCCAAGCCATCATCATTTTCGATTAGGCGTTGCTAGGGCTCTCTGTATCGGCGCCGACTGTCGGGTCGTAGACCCTTTTGCCCCATGGACCCGCGATCGAGGATCCCCCGCAGCCGTCGAAACTTCGATAATCTTTGTTTCTAATTCAAATTTACTGACCTTTTCGGATGTGTATTAATATTTATAGCTCCATCTCTGCCGACATATAAACATATTGAACTATTTAATTGTTCTTTAAGATAGGTGGCGTCTCGGTAGCGTAAGACTGGCGGGATCATTCAAA